TCAAATACAGTAAAAAATATTAAAACTTTACTTGTGGTCATTCATAATTAGAATTCCGGTTTTAAGATATTTTCCTTTGAATATATCGACTACAAAAGATATTAACTTTATTTGAATTTATTCTTGAAAAATTTTGAAATCAGTTTGGAAGCAAAAAACTGCCGAAATTAGCTATTTCGGTACATTTTTTTCAGACGATATTTAAAAATAAATGCTCTAAAAGATTGGTAAAGTCTATGAATTTAATTTTTGGTACTTATCACATCGAACCCCGTTTTCACATCGAGTGCAATGTTGATTATATACGCATAGAGACCTTCTGTTTCCTTCTTGAAGAAACCATTCCTGGGTCACCTCCATGATTGCTGTTCTGCTAATTTTTGGTTTTCTTGTGCAAATGTGTAAGTCTTCTTTCTTCTATTCGTCGATTTCATCATAAATTCTCTTCTCATAATCTGCCAACCTGTCCACAATTATCTTTTCGTTCAGCCTACCTGCTAGCATCCACTTCTTTTTTTATTTTTTAAAGCAATTCAACCCTAGCTAGGCGGGAGTGACACGCGCACGCAAGGGGTTATAGAGTATTGAGAACAAGAGCAAAGATGAGCATTTGAGGAAAGGAAAGGACACAGAGGAGGATGTGAAACAAGCGCAGGGTATCAGATGTCGATTGACATTACACTTGAATATTTGAAGATTATTGTCATCGGGGAAGCGTGTAAGAGGAAGGGACTTCCACAGAGGGGAAGTGCAGAAGAAGAATCTGTTTGAGAAGAGATGGTTACATTTAACCGATTCGACAGTGGAAGTGTGAGACCAAGGTGTCAACTCCTAGCTTTTTCTGAAAGTACTCATGCAATGACTCACGTTTTTACATTATACGCTTTTCTACCCCCTATCTAAATTCTTCTGTCCTCTTTTCAGTGTAGGTAAAGCCTAGCAACATTACTCCTAGAATGTAAGCATCTGTTGATGGTCATTATATTCCATGTCATCCGGTACAAGTTTGATAGATACCTTTTTCGCGTCCTGGATAAGACGATAGACTACATTCAACAGCAAGGCCTCTGATCAGGAGCTTTTGAAGAGCATGGAACCACCTCTTAATTGCTGGTGTTCTCAGGTCCACCCTGACCCGTGGTGGTAAGACATGTTAGGGTCCCAGCTATGGGTAAATAGTTAACGCGCAAAATGGGGTCTAAACACTATGAAAGTGAAAAAAATAAGTTTTAATACCAGAAATATTTTGTAAAAAATTATTACCAGCAATAAATTTTTAAAGAAAAATTATTGCCAGCAATATATTAAAAAAAAAATACCAGCTATACATTAAAAAAATATTACAGGCAACAAAAATCTTGTCATTGGCTTTTTAATTCCAACAAGATTTTGCTTGTAATATTTTTAACCCATTGAGGTTGATATGCCGTAAAGCAAAACAAACTAAACCGATACTCTTTGCTTCAGAGTCTGTCTATATTTCTGAGATGAGGTATTATGTACAGTATTTACATTAGTCGGACTATTGTCCTCATCTTTGTCGCCATATTTGTCACAACGTTTCGGCCGGAGCGTACAACTGCTGAAACGAAATAGTCCGACTAATGTAAATACTGTACTCTTTGCTTCACTCAACAATACCTGCACCAACCTTAGAATACTGACTACACCAGTACTGATGCCAGAAATCAACATCCTGCCATTCAATTTGGATCTAAAATGGTTCTTTACACACTGAACCTGCCCATCTCGTATCTGTGATTTATCTTTTTCACTGAGTTTAAGATCATCCATGAATAACGGATGACTGATGGGCTGTTTCCAATGCGTATATTTACTTAGAATCAAAAAGAGACATTTCTGTGACACATAATAAGGAAAGAAGGTTTGGAAAATTTAACACACACAACATGTACTGAAAGCAAGAGGGAACGAGTTAATCAGCGTGTAACCGATCTAGCTAGCTTGCATTAATGTATAATGTGGCAGGTGTAATAGTGAAAAGAAAAAAAACACCAAGAGCTACAAATGATAAAAAAAATTCTGGTGAACTATGATTGCCCACGTCCTGAAAGGATCCGTGTCATAGAAGATAAAAATATTATCGGAAAAAAAGGCGATGGTCAAGGGTGGTGACAAAATATAACCTACCATCACTCACAGAATTTTGGCAACAAACACACCTTGAGGACCATAACAGTAGATATCTCAAAGACCTTCGACAAGGTGTGGCACGAAGGCTTATTACACAATACTTCCTGAATTATTACGGCCAGTCCCTCGGAGCCCTAACGGTCAACACAAGCCTACCCAGAGGTCACTCCTCAGACCAACCCTCTTTTCAATCTACATAAATGATCTGCCTAAAAATATACTCAGATCATTTGTAAATATCTTTGCCGATTATTTACATTATTCGGACTATTATCCTCATCCTTGTCGCCATATTTATCACAACGTTTCGGCCGTTGTACGATCCGGTTTTCTTCAGGTGGTTGGAATGTCGAACTGAACCCTTTATTTCGATTACTGGGGTAGACTGTTCTAGTTCCACGTGCCATGTTTGATGGATGTCAGTTAACAGTTATCTCCTGTTAATTTCCCTCTGAAAATTCTCCACTGCCTTAACCGGGTATTGAACTCACACTCTTTGGGTCCTGTCACTACAGACTGTTCGGTTGTACTCTCTTCCTACAGGCGGGAGTCTCCTTCGGGGAGGTAAAACCGGCCCTGAACCCGTTTATACGGGTTCAAATAGGCTATTTTTTGGCCGAGCCTAATGGCTTGGGAATTGCCCACGTTAAAAAGGCCTTGTGCCATATGACACCCTCGTGGGGGGTGACTGAATATCGTCACTGGATCTAACCAATGCCTTTATCCATTGTGCCATGTGTCCTTGAGGTTAGATCCAGTGACAGGCCCCAAAGAGTGTGAGTTCAATACCCGGTTAAGGCAGTGGAGAACTTTCAGAGGTAAATTAATAGGAGATAACTGACATCCATTAAACATGACATGTGGAACTAGATCAGTCTACTCCAGTGAGCGAAATAAAGGGTTCAGTTCGACATTCCAATCAGCTGAAGAAGGCCGGAGCGTACAATAGCCGAAACGTTGTGATAAATCTGGCGACAAAGATGAGGACAATAGTCCGACTAATGTAAATAATGTACATAATACCTCATCTCAGAAATATAGACAGATGTATGCCGATGATGCGACTATATAAGGGTGCACCTCAAAAATTCTCGGTGGTCAGAGATTGGGGACATCTCTCTTCCGATCTTGCACAAACTACACAATGGGGTAAAAAAAACTGGCTGGTTACATTCAATGCCTCGAAGACTAAGCTAGTTACATTCCAACATCACCGATCTGGCCTCGAACTACCACCAATCAGGATGAACGGAGCTCCTCTTGGGGGAACACCGTGCCTTGAAAGACTGTTGGGCTTCAAACTCACACTCGACCTCAAGCGGAACTCGTATATACGTTCCATTGCTAAGGATGCAAGTAAAATGGTCGGCTCTCTTTATCACTCCATTAAGTACTAGACTTCAGTTCTCTTCTACCTTTACAAGAGACAGATCAGGCCAAAAATGGAGTCCTCTTGTCGTATTTGGACAGAAGATACCCAGACCTCCCTTTCCAGCCTGGATAATGTTCAAAAGCGTCTCCGAGTCGTTGGAAGCGAAGAATCATTCTCCGCCCTTCAACTTCTCTTCCACAGACGGGAAGCGGCAAGCCTCTCGCTGTTCTACCGCTACTTCCACGGAAAGCCCTACACCCCTTGCTTCCTCCAGGACTGACCTTCATGGCTAGAACCCGCCATGTCACTTACATAGTCGCAAACCACCCAGATTCCCTCCGTATAACATCGTTGAGAAGTAACTTCCACTCGAGCGTCTTCTTCCCGCGAACCAATGTGGAGGATGTTTACCCGATCACTACTATCTTAACCTGTTCAGGGATAGAGTTAACAGTATACTTCCACTCCTATGCACACAAATGGCCTCCCAGCGTAACACTCTACCTCGAGTTGTCCCTGGGCCTTGTAAAGAGTGAACCTTGCTGTAAAAATATCCCAAGAAATCAATTTAATCAGGAATTTTTTAATCGAATTTAACCCAAGCAACTTGGTACGAAGTAATTAGAAAGCAGAAACATTATTAAAGAGCAAGAACACTGAAAGAGTAGTCAGGAAGACAGTAGATAACGATTGACATTGCATTCAAATTTCTAAAGATCAAAGTTGTCCGGGAAGTTGTCCGGGAAGAGAGTTCCACAAGCGAAAAGTGCGATAGAAGAAACTGTTAGCATAGAACTTGCGGTTACATCTTGCCAATTCAACCGTAAAATAATGAGACCTACCTGCCAATATAGTACAGGGCTTAAATTCATAAAGTCTACGTAACATAGCGAAAAGCACAACTTCCACGAAATCTTCCGCGGAATTATTTGGTCATGCATGTGTATGTAGATATGTTTTCAGCTACCGGAATCTTTTGACTGTTTGCGCATGCGTGTTTAACACATTTGTTTCTTTCTGTAGCCATGACAGTTTGTGAGTTAACTTTTTTTAAAATATTAGTTTAATTTATTATTCTTTGAAATAGACTGATTTCATTTTGCAGTCATAATTAGTTTGATGTTATAATTTGCGTAGTTAATAATTAAGAACACAACTAATTGTTAAACTTCTTGTTCCTTTGTCTTTATTTATTAATTAACGTAGTTTTTAATTGAAATTCGATTACAATTCACTGATTATAGCTTTGATGCGGGCCTAATTCACAATTCTAACTCTGCTGACGTTGTCATAGCAACTTGCTAATTAATTGAATTTTGAAAGTGAATCTATTTGAAACAAAAAGGGAAGCCTGCGTTCTTTGAAGACAACATACCTAGAGGTTCAAGAAACGAGAAGGTCACAATTAATGAGTAACAGCACCAATGGACTACAAACAAGAACTCTTCGTGTTTTCCAGGAGAAATTCTTTAAAATGTTCGTTACCGCGTTACTAAGGTTACATCATATGTAAATTTCCTCGTCATAATTTCATATATTTAACAAATTTAAAAAAAAAATACTACATCGAATCACTGTTTTGCATTTTTTGTAGCATTTTCATATGCAATCTTTAATGAATTTACGTCGAAAGTACTTCGAGAGCCTACTAATAACAATATTACCAACTATAAAACCACGTCAAAAACATATCACATCATCAAAGTTTATTGAATCCATTCTATAGATTCTATAACAAACGCTATGTATGTTTCCAAATAAAGATGCAAAGAAACAACACACATAATAGCTACTAGACACAAAAACACATAATTACGAATATACAACTGAATCCTGCATAGAAAAACTATACCTTTTCAACTTCAAAATGATAATAATCAACTTCAAAATGGACTTATTTTTAAGTAAAAAAATTAATCAACTTCAAAATGGAACAATCAACTTCAAAATGGAACAATCAACTACAAAATGGATTAATCAACTTCGAATTGAGAAAATGTCAAAAACCTTCAAAATAAGAATAAACAACTTCAAATTGGAATAAACAACTTCAAATTGAGATATTTTTTTGTTAAATTGAAATTTTTTTTCAATTGATTTACACCATGAGTAAGGAAATTGACTGTTCGTCTTCATAGATGAAGAAAAAAACAAAATACAAACAACTTAGAGGCCAAGAAAGCATTGGGTGAGCCTACAGTAAAAGTAGGAGGAGAAAGTCCCGTATGGGCAAAAATGATGATTGAAGATGATGCTGGAGAAACCTCTACAAAAGAAGCTGAAGAAGAATTAGCAACAGCTCCAAAGAGGACTTACCTCAAGAAAACAGTGTCTGGCAAAAAAAAAGGTCCAGATTTTAGCTGCACATGCCGCAGCAGGAAATTGGAAAGACCTGGCAAGAACAATTGGTGTGCTTCTGCCAACAGCGTACCGTTGGTTAGACCAGGGTGCTGATAAGAGTGACTCTAGGGGAGGAGCAAGAAAATATAAAATTACGCAAGAGCATGAGAATTTTATGGCCGAATTAATTAAAAACTCTCCTAGGGTCACTCTTCAAGACATTGTAAATGTCAAAAAGTATGAGGTTCGTGTGACGAAAGAATGCATAAGAAAGCACTTGGACTCCATAGCCTTTACTTTAAACGCGGTTCATTATGAACCAGAAGCTGCCAATAATAATATCAATAAGGCGAAACGTAAGGATTACACAGTAGCTTTATTAGAATTTCAGTCCCAAAGTGTGCCAATTCTTTATATGGATGAAACCAATTTTAATCTCCATATTTCAAGAAGAGAAGGTCGCTCTAAAAAAGGCACAAGGTGCACTACAGTTGCGGCCGGATCCAGAGAAAATAACATCCATGTTATTGGATATATTAGTAATAAGGGATTAATTAATCATAAAATTAAAAGAGGTTCTTTCAAAAAAGAGGATGTGAAAGAATGGACGAAGGAGTGCCTTAGTAAGGCAAATGAAATTTATGAAAGGGGAGTTGTCTTATTGATAACGCTCTTTGCCATACTTCATTTGAAGAAGTTGTGGAGGAGGATGAATTTAGGCAACACCAAATTTTCAGACTTGCCCCCTTATAGTCCAATGTTAAATCCCTTCGAAAAGGTTTGGTCAGTCATTAAAGCTGACGTAACAAGAAGTATAGCAGACTCAATTGTTGGGATTTTAAGAGGTGATGGCCAGGGATCTTTAACAACTAAAGAATTCCGCCTCAGCAAGTTAGAAGCGATGATCTCCGAGGCAATTAATAATATTTCTCCTGAGACTTGCACTAACTTCGTATCTGGAATACAGAGATTACTTCCCTCTGTAATTAACTTAGATGATGTAATCTTTTAAATAAATTTCTTAGGAACGTTTATATTTTTTTTATATCCCTTTTAATTAAGAATAAATATTAACTTTATTAGTATTATATTAATTCTCAATTTGAAGTTGATTAATTCAATTTGGAGTTGATTATTTCTCATTTTGAAGTTGTTTTCCAATTTGATGTTAATTAATCCATTTTGAAGTTGATTGATCCATTTTGAAGTTGATTAATCCATTTTGAAGTTGATTAATCCATTTTGGAGTTGATTAATTTTTTTACCTGAAAATAAGTCCATTTTTAAGTTGCTTATTATTATTTTGAAGTTGAAAAGGTATAGAATTATGATACACTTATATGTACAAAGCAGTATCTGTTGATTTCATGAAACTTCCAATGGACACGTGGTCTTTCCTTGAATTCAAAACGCCACAAATTATTCTAACATTTGTTTAATAAGTCGAATACACGTGATACAAGTCTGACCAATAAAAATCGAACAACACGAAAGTAAAAATACCAGAATTTCTATCTTCTTTTTCTCCATATCTCAATCTTTGTTGAAGCTTTAATAAAAGTGAAACATAAACGTTTCCTATTTATTCTTTAGCTTATCATTCTGTCGGATTCCGACCCATATTTGATCTCAAGACATCTATCTATCTATCTATCCATCCATCTATCTATCTATCTATCTATCTATCCATCTATCCATCCATCCATCTATCTATCTATCTATCTATCTATCTATCGAGGTCGAATTTATCGCTTATAAACTTCAATCATTCCATGAATCTCGTACATTCATAACTGCTCATGGTGTATCAAATGTAAACAAATGACGTTGACCTTGTCTACCGAACGCTCCTTTGTGGCCGAGTCGATTAAGGCACGTCAGCGTAAATGACGGTTCCGTATAGGATGCAGGTTCGAATCCTGTCAAAGGACGGATATTTTCTATGAAAATTTCTCGGACATTCAGGCCAGTAAATGTTATTTAATACTGTTTATTATAAACAGAGCATTTACTTAAATACTTGTATCTATAAAAAAGAACGTTAAACATAAAAATGTCTTTAATAAATAAATTGTCGGACTTTGTCCATTTCTTAATATATATATATGTAATGAGTTAACAATCAAATACAGAACAAATATGGATTGGAACCTGACAGGATGCTAAAAAAAAACACATAGGAAACGACTATCAAGCGTTTCCTATGTTTCACTTTTTTTTGAAGAGATCTCTGACGAAAGTTTAATAAAAGTGAAACATGTTAGATTGATATGCGTTTCCTATTTGTTCTCTATATTATCATATATATATATATATATATATATATATATATATATATATATATATATATATTCTTTTATTTTATCATCCTGTCGGATTACCATCCATATTGATCTGCATTGATTTTGAACTCATATATATATGTTCTTTATTTTATAATCCTGTCGGATTACCATCCATATTGATCTGCATTGGATTTTGAACTCATATATATATGTTCTTTATTTTATAATCCTGTCGGATTACCATCCATATTGATCTGCATTGATTTTGAACTCATATATATATATATATATATATATATATATATATATATATATATATATATATATATGTTCTTTATTTTCTCATCCTGTCGGATTACCATCCATATTGATCTGCATTGATTTTTGAACTCATATATATATATATATATATATATATATATATATATATATATATATATAATGTTCTTTATTTTATCCTCCTGTCGGAATACCATCCATATTGATCTGCATTGGATTTTGAACTCATATATATATATATATATATATATATATATATATATATATATTTCTTTTTTTTATCCTGTCGGGTTACCATCCATATTGATCAGCATGGATTTTGAACTCATATATATATATATCTTTATTTTATAATCCTGTCGGATTACCATCCATATTGATCTGCATTGATTTTGAACACATATATATATATATATATATATATATATATATATATATATATATATATATGTTATTATTTTGGTTTTCATCCTGTTTTTTACCATCCATATTGATCTGCATTGGATTTTGAACTCCATATATATATATATATATATATATATATATAATATTTTTTTATTTTCTTCCTTCCGTCTGAATACCATCCATATTGATCTGCATTGGTTTTGAACTCTTATATATATATATATATATATATATATATATATATATTATTTCATTTTTTATCATCCTGTCGGAGACAATCCATATTGATCAAGGATTGAATTTTGAACTGATGAATATATATATATTCATATATATATATATAATTGTGCATTAGCAGCAGCAAAAAGTTTTATTGCCAACATTGTCATCAAAAGCATGTTTTTTATTGTTTTTTTTTTTTTGTCATGAAATTTTTATTTTTTTTTTAATTTTTCTTTCCTTTTTTTATTTCAACATCATATTAATTTGATTTTTTTCAATTCTTTTATGGACAATTTTTTTTTTTTTTTCCACATTTTGTTTACTCTTTCTCGCATTCAAAACGTCGGTTTCCTCTTCTTCAGTTTCGGCTTTATTTTCCCTCTTGTTTCTTCCATTTCAAATTCAGCCTGACGGAGACAATATTCAATGACAAATCTTCGCCTTCAATGCCGCACATGAACATTTCTTTCTTTCATCGAAATCGTCATCATCATCATTAGCAGCAGCAAAAGCACCATTGCCAACATTGTCATCAAAAGTTGTTTTTTATTGTTTTTTTTTTTTTTGTCATGCTTTTTTTTACTTTTTTTTATTATTTTTCGATCCTTCTTTAAAAGTTTCACACTTTGTTGATTTGATTGCTGTTCAATACCTTTTCTTCCATCTTTTTTTATTTTTTTCTTTATTTTTTTTACATTTCTTTCATTCAACGCCACGAAACTAACGATTCTTTCTTTGTTTCTTATTTTCTCCGTTTGTTCGTATGCTTGTTAATTTCTTTCTTTCTTTTCTTTCTTTCAATTCTTTTATCTTCTTCGCCTTCAATGCCGCACAGTAACATTTCTTTTCTTTTCTTTCTTTTTTTCTTTTATCTGCATTCCTCCCTTCTTTATTTCTTTCTTTTATTTATTTTTTCATTCATTCTTTCTTTCTTTCTTTCTTTTTTTTCTTTTTTTATCTCATGTTTATCTGCATCTCCTCCTCAAAGCTGCTTCTTTCTTTCTTTTCTTTTCTTTCTTTTTTATTTATTTATTTCTTTTTTTCTTTTATCTCATGTTTATCTGCATCTCCTCCCTCAACCCTGCTTCTTTCTTTTCTTTCTTTCTTTCTTTTCTTCTTTCATTCTTTCTTTTCTTTCTTTTTTTTTTTTCTTTCTTTTTATCTCATGTTTATCTGCATCTCCTCCCCTCAACCCTTTCTTTTCTTTCTTTCTTTCTGTCTTTCTTTCTTTCTTTCTTTATTTATTTATTTATTTCGATATTTCTTTCATTCATTCTTTCTTTCTTTCTTTCTTTCTTTCTTTTATCTCATGTTTATCAGCATCTCCTCCCTCAACCCTGCTTCTTTCTTTCTTTCTTTCTTTCTTTTATCTCATGTTTATTTGAATCTTATCCCTCAACCCTGCTTCTTTTTTTTTTTCTTTCTTTCTTTCTTTCTTTCATTCATTCATTCTTTCTTTCTTTTATTTCTTTCTTTCTTTTTATCTCATGTTTATCTGCATCTCCCCCTCAACCCAGCTTCTTTTCTTTTTTTCTTTCTTTCTTTTCTTTCTTTCATTCTTTCTTTTCTTTCTTTTCTTTTTTTTTTCTTTTATCTCATGTTTATCTGCATCTCCTCCCTCAACCCTGCTTCTTTCTTTCTTTTTTTCTTTCTGTCTTTTTTCTTTCTTTCTTTTCTTTCTTTCATTCATTTTTATTTCTTTCATTCATTCTTTTTTCTTTCTTTCTTTCTTTTCTTTTTTTTATCTCATGTTTATCAGCATCTCCTCCCCCTCAACCCCTGCTTCTTTTTTTTTTTTTTTTTCTTTCTTTTTCTTTTCTTTCTTTCTTTCTTTCTTTCTTTTTTATCTCATGTTTATTTGCATCTCATCCCTCAACCCTGCTTCTTTTTTTTTCTTTCTTTCTTTCTTTCTTTCATTCATTCATTCTTTTCTTTCTTTTTTTTTTTTTCTTTTTTTATCTCATGCTTATCTGCATCTACTCCCTCGACTCTGCTTCTTTCTTTCTTTTCTTTTCTTTTTCGTTCTTTTTTTTTCTTTCTTTTTATCTCATGTTTATCTGCATCTCCTCCCTCAACCCCTGCCTCTTTTCTTTTCTTTTTTCTTTCTTTTCTTTCTTTCTTTCTTTCTTTCTTTTTTTATCTCATGTTTATCTGCATCTCCTCCCTCAACCCTGCTTCTTTTTTTTTTCTTTCTTTCATTCTTTCTTTCATTCATTAATTCTTTCTTTCTTTCTTTCTTTCTTTCTTTCTTTCTTTTATCTCATGTTTATCTTCATCTCCTCCCTCAAACCTGCTTCTTTCTTTCTTTCTTTCTTTCTTTCTTTCTTTCTTTCTTTCTTTCTTTCATTCATTCATTCATTCTTTCTTTCTTTCTTTCTTTCTTTCTTTTATCTCATGTTTATCTGCATCTCCTCCCTCAACCCTGCTTCTTTCTTTCTTTCTTTTTCTTTCTTTCTTTTCTTTCTTTCTTTCTTTTTTATCTCATTTTATTGCATCTCCTTTTTCTTTCTTTCTTTTCTTTCTTTATTTCTTTCATTCATTCATTCTTTCTTTCTTTCTTTCTTTTTATCTCATGTTTATCTGCATCTCCTACCTCGACTCTGCTTCTTTCTTTCTTTCTTTCTTTCTTTCTTTCTTTCTTTCTTTCTTTTCATTCATTCTTTCTTTCTTTCTTTTTCTTTTTCTTTCTTTCTTTTTTATCTCATGTTTATCTGCATCTCCTCCCTCAACCCTGCTTCTTTTTTCTTTCTTTCTTTCTTTTTTTTCTTTTTCTTTCTTTCTTTCTTTCTTTTCTTTCTTTTTTTTATCTCATGTTTATCTGCATCTCCTCCCTAAACCCTGCTTCTTTTCTTTCTTTTTTTTCTTTCTTTATTTATTTATTTTTTCTTTCATTCATTCTTTCTTTCTTTCTTTCTTTCTTTCTTTCTTTCTTTCTTTCTTTCTTTCTTTTATCTCATGTTTATCAGCATCTCCTCCCTCAACCCTGCTTCTTTCTTTCTTTCTTTCTTTCTTTCTTTCTTTCTTTCTTTCTTTCTTTCTTTTATCTCATGTTTATCTGCATCTCCTCCCTCAACCCTGCTTCTTTCTTTCTTTCTTTCTTTCTTTCTTTCTTTTATCTCATGTTTATCTGCATCTCCTCCCTCAACCCTGCTTCTTTCTTTCTTTCTTTCTTTCTTTCTTTCTTTCTTTCTTTCTTTTATCTCATGTTTATCTGCATCTCCTCCCTCAACCCTGCTTCTTTCTTTCTTTCTTTCTTTCTTTCTTTCATTCTTTCTTTCTTTCTTTCTTTCTTTCTTTCTTTCTTTTATCTCATGTTTATCTGCATCTCCTCCCTCAACCCTGCTTCTTTCTTTCTTTCTTTCTTTCTTTCTTTCTTTCATTCATTCATTCATTCTTTTTTCTTTCTTTCTTTCTTTTATCTCATGTTTATCTGCATCTCCTCCCTCAACCCTGCCTCTTTCTTTCTTTCTTTCTTTCTTTCTTTCTTTCTTTCTTTCATTCATTCATTTCTTTTTTTCTTTCTTTCTTTCTTTTTTTCTTTTATCATGTTTATCTGCATCTCCTCCCTCAACCCTGCTTCTTTCTTTCTTTCTTTCTTTCTTTCTTTCTTTCTTTCTTTCTTTCTTTCTTTCTTTTCATGTTTATCTGCATCTCCTCCCTAAACCCTGCTTCTTTCTTTCTTTCTTTCTTTCTTTCTTTCTTTATTTTTTCTTTCATTTCTTTTCATTCTTTCTTTCTTTCTTTTCTTTTTTCTTTCTTTTCTTTTTTATCTCATGTTTATCAGCATCTCCTCCCTCAACCCTGCTTCTTTCTTTCTTTCTTTTTCTTTTCTTTCTTTTCTTTCTTTTTATCTTATGTTTATCTGCATCTCCTCCCTCAACCCTGCTTCTTTCTTTCTTTTTCTTTCTTTCTTTCTTTCTTTTCTTTCTTTCTTTTTCTTTTTTATCTCATGTTTATCTGCATCTCCTCCCTCAACCCTGCTTCTTTTCTTTCTTTCTTTCTTTCTTTCTTTTTTTTCTTTCTTTCTTTCTTTTTATCTCATGTTTATCTGCATCTCCTCCCTCAACCCCTTCTTTCTTTCTTTCTTTCTTTCTTTCTTTCTTTCTTTCTTTCTTTCTTTCTTTTTTATCTCATGTTTATCTGCATCTCCTCCTCAACCCTTTTTTTTTTCTTTCTTTCTTTCTTTCTTTCTTTCTTTCTTTCTTTCTTTTTTTTATCTCATGTTTATCTGCATCTCCTCCCTCAACCCTGCTTCTTTCTTTTCTTTTTTTTCTTTCTTTCTTTCTTTTATTTTATCTCATGTTTATCTGCATCTCCTCCTCCAACCCTGCTTCTTTCTTTCTTTCTTTCTTTCATTCATTCATTCTTTCTTTCTTTCTTTCTTTCTTTTTTTATCTCATGTTTATCTGCATCTCCTCCCCTCAACCCTGCTTCTTTCTTTTTTTCTTTCTTTTCTTTCATTCATTCATTCTTTCTTTCTTTCTTTCTTTCTTTTCTTTTTATCTCATGTTTATCTGCATCTCCTCCCTCAACCCTGCTTCTTTTTTTTTTTTCTTTCTTTCTTTTCTTTCTTTCTTTCATTCTTTCTTTCTTTCTTTCTTTTTTTTTTATCTCATGTTTATCTGCATCTCCTCCCTCAACTCTGCTTCTTTCTTTCTTTGTTTCTTTCTTTGTTTCTTTCTTTTTCTTTCTTTTCTTTCTTTCTTTTTTATCTCATGTTTATCTGCATCTCCTCCCTCAACTCTGCTTCTTTCTTTCTTTCTTTCTTTCTTTCTCTTTCTTTCTTTCTTTCTCTTTCTTTCTTTCTTTCTTTTTCTTTCTTTCTTTCTCTTTCTTTCTTTCTTTCTTTCTTTCTTTCTTTTTCTTTCTTTCTTTCTTTCTTTCTTTTATCTCATGTTTATCTGCATCTCCTCCCTCAACCCTGCCTCTTTCTTTCTTTCTTTCTTTCTTTCTTTCTTTCTTTCTTTCTTTCATTCATTCATTCTTTCTTTCTTTCTTTCTTTTATCTCATGTTTATCTGCATCTCCTCCCTCAACCCTGCTTCTTTCTTTTTTTTTTTTCTTTCTTTCTTTCTTTATTTATTTCCTTCTTTCTTTCTTTCTTTCTTTCACTTGTTTGTTTGTTTCTTTTTTTCCTCATTTTTAGTTATAGCAGCACCTACAATGCCGCTTATTGTTTCTTCTTTCTTTTCTTTCTTTCTTTTTTCTTTCTTTCTTTCTTTCTTTTCTCCTTATTTCATAGTATATCTCCTCCCTCAATGCTCCACAGTAACACTTCTTTCAGGCTTTCATTCTTTCTTATTTCTTTTATCGTCGTATTTATCTACATCTCCCTCGTCGCTCCTTTCTTTCTTTCTTTCTTTCTTTTTACACATTTTTATTTAACATCCCTCAACATCGCACAGTAAAACGTTTCTTTATCTTTGTTTGTTTGTATCTTTCTTTTTCCTCCTTCTCCCAATCTTCTTTTATTATTATTATTATTATTATATTATTATTATTATTATTATTATTTCTCCTTCATCCTTTTTATTGTGTTTCTTCTTCTAGAGATTCTCTCTTTGTGCACCAAGAGAAGTTAGCAACCTTGAGCTCCTTTGACCGGAGAAGAATGGAATCTTCTGACAATGGATTTGAAAGCTTCAAAAGAAAGACACAAACAACAAAGGCGTGGGGGGAGGGGGAATAAGGAGAAAGAGAGAGAGAGAAAGAGAAGGAAAGAGAAAGAGAAACAGAAAGAAAGAAAGAGAAAAAAAAGGGAGACCCTAGAAGAAAACAGGAAAAAAAAAAGAAGAAAAAAATGGCGAATGTTTTGCTTCTCTTCCTCCTGCTCTTCCGTCACACCTGGTATCATTGCATAGCATCAGGACACGCACCTGCGTCATGAACAATCGTCATCTTCTTGGGGCCACCTCCTCGGCTTAGATCTCTATCTACCGAACGCTGACGTTTAATAACACAACACACAACAGGCGGTTCTCTTGTCTTCGTCAACGGCACGGCTTAAGACGCCATCTTTGGCGTCACAATGCTCTTAGGGTTAGTTGCGATGATAGCGGTGGCGCTGTGGGAGCTGGCTTCGGTGAAGTAAGAGGATGGTAATGGTATGGTAGCGCTTGAATAGAAAAATTGACAGCAGAACAACAACAATAATAATAATAATAATAATAATAATAATGGTAGCAGTAGTAGAAGTTAGTGTAGTAGTAGTAGTAGTAGTAGTAGTAGTAGTAGTAGTAGTAGAAGAGATGGCTACGTGGGTAAGAAAGAGTTGCGATAAAGACGTATTTAAGCTAGAAGTTGTGGTTACGGAAGCAGCAATGTCACTTGACTTGGCAAAGGGATTGAAACGCGTGACAGCCGTGGAGCTGCTGACATGCAGATGGAATATAAGATTTGCATGCTGCTTTCAAAACAAATCTGGCATAAGACTGGGTTTGTCCAAACCGGTTGAAGTTTGGCATGCCTAGAAAATCTGTTGTTCCGGAAAGGAAGTGGCAGTGCTTGATGAAATTTAAAATCAAACAATATTGTATTCGGAACTCGAGACAATAAATCTTTCTACATTGATATGTTCAATCCTATACGTATAGACATATAATAGATAGGTTGAGAGAGAAAGAGAGAGAGAGGGTTATAATAGCCAGAATCTATGGAGATGGATAGATAGATAGATAGATAGATAGATAGATAGATAGATAGATAGATATAAAATTTACAAAAAATATGACAAATGGAAACCTGCTTCATTGAATCTAGATTTGATTACGACGCGTTTCGCCTTTCTAGGCTTCATCAGATCCAAAGAAGATATGAAAGAAAGGAATATGCGTGTGTGCATGTTTAAATAAACCATTGGAACTTTTCCGCTAAGCTGGCATTTCTCGTGATGAAAGAAAAGAATGAATATGTGTGACGTTAGAAAAAATTCAATACAGATTATCTATATCTGGGATTATCTATAACTTTGAACATGAACTAAGAATTATAAAGGAATGATACAGAATAAATATTAACGGATTTTTTAAAAAGTCATTCACGTCCATTCTTTTTTTTCCTTTCCCGAAAAACACCGGATTAGCGGGAAGAAAGAACGAATGATTTATTATTTAACCATAAAAACAAATACACACGCAGATTTCTTTTGTTTTAATAAAAGAAAGACTTTTCTTATTTTAAAATTCCTTTAAAACTTAGGTATCGCGTTTCTGTGATGTCTCTAATATATATATATATATATATATATATATATATATATATATATATATATATATATATATATTGTTTTATTTAGGCAGCATCTTTTTTATTCATCCACGTTTCATTAAATAATATAGACAAGTGTTGTCTATTTATTTTATGTAAATTCTTTTCGTAACGTCTGATAAGTTTAATAACATTATCGTGTGGTCATATGTGACGTCATGAGATGCGGTGCGATTTTCGCTTCTAGCGTCTTATATGCACGTGTTTATCGTTGCTTAGAAATCATCTATGTAAACAATGACAGACTATCATCACTGTCTTGTCCGTATATTGCTTAATATGTTGTAATTGACATCTTTGATAAAGGCTTATGTAAGCCGAAAGGTTAGATTGTATTAAAAAAATATGGATCAATATTGAATTTCTTTTTCTTCGTTCAACGATAATGTTATTAAACTTATCAGACGTTACGAAAAAAAACACATAAAATAAATAGACAAACACTTGTCTATATTATTTAATGAAACGTGTATGAATATATATATATATATATATATATATATATATATATATATATATATATATATATATATATATATATGCAATAATATGGATATAGATCCGACATATGAAGAAAATATGGGGAAAAACAAACAAATTATGATTTAATGTTAATTATATTTCGGTCTAAAAACCATCTTTCATAGAAGATAATTTTATTTTGACCGAAAACATCCGACGTATACATATTAACATTAAACAGTTTAATTGTATATAAGATTTTGTTTGTTTTTTTTCCTATATTTTTCATATATATATATATATATATATATATTTAAAATTCATGAATTATTCATACAAAAACAAATACAAAGGTTAATGATTTAATTGGCGAGAAATCCATCGTCACAAACAATTCAAATAATATACAAAAACCCCCGAACCTGTTATGAATGAAAAGATCCTTGTTTTTATAAATTTCTGTTGCATGAGTTCTATTTTACTACAAGCTTTCGTCTGTTCCTACAGACATCTTCAGGTATGGAATAGATGTTGTTCTTGTTTTATATATATATATATATACTTTAAAAATCAGGTGGTCAATTAAAATACGCGATATGGTTCCGACATGGCGGTCTCTTCGGGCGATATTTTTAAAATGACCATTTTAACAATTTATTTACAAGAACCACATAATAGAACGCTACATAATTATCTGTAAAAAAAAAAAAAACAGTTTCCTGATGATTCAACGTCAGGATATTTGAGTGTAATGGAAAGGAAGAGGAAAAGTAGGTTGAATGAATCAAAAGTCATGAGTCTCTTTTTTTTTTTTTTGGAAAGACAATTATATAGCATAGTTTTTGTTTTGTTGTTTTTTTTTAAATAGAACGCTACACTGATCAATTGTATATATATAATCAAGGGTGTCTGAAGATTTTAATTTTTTAATATTTTTTATTGTCTAAAACACACACACATATATTTCTGTTTATATGCGTATTTCATTCTCTCTCTCATTGTCTCTCTCTCTCTCTCTCACTCTCTCTCTCTCTCTCTCTCTCTCTGTGTGTGTGTGTGTGTGTGTGTATGTGTGTGTACTGTATTGAATAAAATAACACTACTGTCGCAGGATTTTTGCAAAAGACACCTTCATCAAAATGACCTAAGCTACTAAAGTGTTTCCATAAAAATTGATTGCAATATATTAGACTACGACCTCTGTCCCATAATGGTTGGTACGTTTAGTGTATGAATAGTGTATACAAATGTACCAACTATTATGGGACAGAGGTAGTAATAAATAATTCCAATCCCAAATTGGAAGGATTGCTGCTAGTTCTAAGCTGATTCTCTTTAATCCTGATATGCTACAGTGTTCCCATAGAAATTGATTGCAATATATCAGACTACCTCTGTCCCATAATGACTGGTACATTTAGTGTATGAAATGTGTATACAAATGTACCAACTATTATGGACAGACAGATTAAATAATTCCAATCCCAAATTGGAATGATTGCTGCTAGTTCTAAGCTGATTCTCTTCAATCCTGATATGCTACAGTGTTCCCATAGAAATTGATTGTTATATTCTACCTCTGTCCCATAATGACTGGTACATTTAGTGTATGAAATGTGTATAAATGTACCAACTATTATGGGACAGAGGTAGTAATGAATAATTCAATCACAAATTGAAAGGATTGCTGCTAGTTCTAAGTTGATTCTCTTCAATCCTGATATGCTACAGTGTTCCCATAGAAATTGATTGCAATATATTAGACCATCTTCCCATAATGACTGGTACATTTAGTGTATGAAATGTGTATAAATGTACCAACTATTATGGGACAGAGGTATTCACAAATTGGAATGATTGCTGCTAGTTCTAAGCTGATTCTCTTCAAAATATGCTACAGTGTTCCCATAGAAATTGATTGCAATATATTAGACAACCTCTGTCCCATAATGACTGGTACATTTAGTGTATGAAATGTGTAACAAATGTACAGCAACTATTGACAGAGGTAAAAATAATTCCAATCACAAATTGGAATGATTGCTGCTAGTTCTAAGCTGATTCTCTTCAAACCTGATATGCTACAGTGTTCCCATAGAAATTGATTGCAATATATTAGACCCATAATGACTGGGTACATTTAGTGTATGAAATGTGTATACAAATGTACCAACTATTATGGGACAGAGGTAGATAATAAAAATTCAATCCCAAATTGAATGATTGCTGCTAGTTCTAAGCTGATTCTCTTTAATCCTGATATGCTACATGTTATTGATTGCAATAAATTAGTGTTAATGAAATTTATTGAAATATATTAGAAAATAATGACTGCTGTTCAACATTTTGTGTTCCCATGGAAATGTACCAACTATTATGGGACAGAGGGACAGATAATAAATAATTCCAATCCCAAATTGGAAAATTGCTGCTAGTTCTAAGCTGATTCTCTTTAATCCTGATATGCTACAGTGTTCCCATAAATTGATTTTATATTAGATATTCTGTCCCATTTGACTGGTACATTTAGTGTATGAAATGTGTATACAAATGTACCAACTTTATGGGACAGAGGTAGTTAAATAATTCCAATCCCAAATTGGAATGATTGCTGCTAGTTCTAAGCTGATTCTCTTTAATCCTGATATGCTACAGTGTTCCCATAAAATTGAAATTGATT